TGCGTTCTAACAGCGACTTTATAGTTCTGAACTCGTGGATGTAATATTTATATTTCAAATAACGTTAACAGTTGGTTTTATCATTTGATTATTTAGACTCACACTGTACACTAATAGTTCTCTTCTTTTCTTCTTAAATTTCTTAATTTAATACCGCAGACGCGCGCGTTCTAACAGCGACTTTATGGTTCTGCACGTAATGGCGTGGATGTAATGTTTATACTTTGAATAACGTTAACAGTTGTTTTTTTATAATTTAATTATTTAAACTCATACTGATGCTACAACCTAATCCAGAACCATAAAGTCGCTGTTAGCACGCATGATTAATAATGACAATGATTAAGAAACTTTTTTACTATTTTCCAAGAGAACTATCAGATTGCGACCTATGGTTCCTAAAGTTTTACCTTCGTGATGAGTAAAGTACGATGTAAAAAAAAAAAATTTTTTTGACCCTAAAATTCAAGGTCAAAGTCAATTTTGTTGCAGGTTCTTTGTACATATTTCCATCAAATCGAAGATGTAGAATTCATTTATGATAGCCACGGACAAACTTTTCTTTTTATGGTATCGATATTTCGACATTTAATTTGTAGAATGCATCGTCTCACTTAAGCGTCCGCTTTCGGTCCCGAGTGTGGACCCTTAAGCGGGGACTACTTCACGTATGTACTTTCGGCGATCGTTTGGCGCGCGCGCGCGCGCGTGTGTGTGTGTGTCTGCGGTAGTAACCTGTCGGGCAAGTTTGGCAAGAGTCTTCTCTTTTCCGGGGGCGTTGCGATTTGTCAGTATCCCCACTGTCGTGAAAGAGTAGCTGGCACACACACCTGCCGTTGCCATTGCCTTCGTTTCGTGCCTCTTCGCTATCAGTCGACCGCCAATATCAATCTCATTTCTCATTCCTTTTCGATTTCCTCGCACCCGTCGTTCCGTCTTACCGATTATACACGACCTGATGCACGTCGGGACAGTTTTCCACATGACGCAGATACGGCAGACGCGTTTACGCAAGGAAACGTACAGCAGCATGTGCGTACTTCATAATCTCTAAATATTTGATAGGCGGACCATGCGGCTGTGTTCCCATCTGCGTTCGTGTCAGCTTCAATTATTAAAGCTTTGCCATATGTCCTTGCTCTTGGCTGCTCTCTTCCTTTCACCCTCCCTCTCCTTTTTCTCTCTTTCTCTCTCTTATCACCCTCTCTTCGCCTCTATCGATGGCTACGTGTATGAGTGTGTTTGCCAAGCACACGCTCCGTTTCTCGGCCCTGTCTGTCTCGTTTCATTTCCCTCGGCCAATTCGTCGATTCAAATCGCCAGAGCGCGCGTAATTGGGACGCGTAAATTCGTGTAAATATACACATGTATCTACACTTACTTTCGTTGCGCGTCTCTTCTGTCTGAAAGTCTAACTCAAATTGTCAAATCGTCCGACGACAACGTGGAACGATATATTAGGGGGCAAAAAGGGATTAATGGATTAGGGGAAAAGGAATATGGCGTGCTATGAAATTGCCCAGAGACGTCGAAGGAAGGACGCGAGTAAAATTCGATCGGCTGTTGCTCGCGATTCGAACGAGTTCTTCTCCCCGAGTCGAGGCTTGAAATATTTAGGCAGGGTGGTGGTCGAGATGGGTGGAGTGCGGACAGGTGGCGGTGATTCCAGCTCTGCGGGCCGTGGTCGTGGACGCGGCAAGGAACACCGCGCCTCTCCGTTCGTGTCATCGGTAGACGGCCGAATTATTTCGCGAGGATCGCGTGGCTCTTCGCACCTGCCGCTCTTTGGCAATGACTCCACTCCACTCCACTCCACTCCACTCCACTCCACTCCACTCCACTCCTCTCCTCTCGACTCGATTCGACTCGATTCTACTCCACCGTGTTCCGACTTCGCCTTTGGCCAAGATACGTATCTCTTCTCGCGACTTTTCCGCCTCGATGTCGTTAATCGGTGCTTTCCACTTTTTTAACAGCTGCTTATAATAAATTTCACTTACATTGCATCTATTGTACTTATTTTCCTTGAAAACGCAGCAACGATAACTAGGGTAATAATAACGTTGCTACGTTGCGAGGGTAATAATAATTAATAATTAAATAATAATAAAATTAATACTAAACAGTACTAATTGATAAAAATTGAGAAATTGTACTGTACAATCTTACTTGTCACGCAACTTGTTATGTTGTGAGTATAATTATAAAAAATTATACTTATAACGCAGCGACGATGACGATGTTACGTTGCGAGGATGATAATAATTAATAATTAAAAAATAATAAAATTAATACTAAATAGTACTAATTGATAATAATTGAGAAATTGTACTGTACAATCTTACTTGTCACGTAACTTGTTATGTTGCGAGTATAATTATAAAAAATTATACTTATAACGCAGCGACGGTGACGATGTTACGTTGCGAGGATAATAATAATTAATAATTAAAAAATAATAGAATTAATACTAAATAGTACTAATTGATAATAATTAAAAAATTGTACTGTACAATTTTACTTGTCACGTAACTTGTTATGTTGCGAGTATAATTATAAAAAATTATACTTATAACGCAGCGACGATGACGATGTTACGTTGCGAGGATAATAATAATTAATAATTAAAAAATAATAGAATTAATACTAAATAGTACTAATTGATAATAATTAAAAAATTGTACTGTACAATTTTACTTGTCACGTAACTTGTTATGTTGTGAGTATAATTATAAAAAATTATACTTATAACGCAGCGACGATGACGATGTTACGTTGCGAGGATAATAATTAATAATTAAAAAATAATAAAATTAATACTAAATAGCAATAATTGATAATAATTAAAAAATTATACTGTACAATTTTACTTGTTATGTTGCGAGTATAATTATAAAAAATTATAACGCAGCGACGATGACGATGTTACGTTGCGAGGATAATAATAATTAATAATTAAAAAATAATAAAATTAATACTAAACAGTACTAATTGATAATAATTGAGAAATTGTACTGTACAATCTTACTTGTCACGTAACTTGTTATGTTGTGAGTATAATTATAAAAAATTATACTTATAACGCAGCGACGATTACGTTGCGAAGATAATAATAATTAATAATTAAAAAATAATAAAATTAATACTAAACAGTACTAATTGATAATAATTAAAAAATTATACTGGACAATTTTACTTGTTATGTTGGAAGTATAATTGTAAAAAATTATACTACACAATTTTACAGAACTTTCATTCGAACAAGGCAGGATTTTATCACTTTGGGAACTCATCGATGTAAAAATTCTGCAATACCATGCTATACTAACTGTGATACTAGCTACAATACTGCTGTACCGATTGTGATCCACCGTGTTTGTATTTTGGACTCTTTCGCGTTAATTGAAGAATTTTAAAGTCCAAGGTTATATCGTAAACATATCTGAATAATTCGTAGAACTGAAATGATTCGATCAATTGGCACGAACGCTAACGACTTCAAATTCAAAAGGAGACGAAATACGAAAAAAAAAGGCGAGGAAAGCAGAGTTGCGCGACTCGAGCTTCCCGGGAAAAGTTGGCATCAACGTTGAGATGACGAGGGCGAAAAAGGTATGTGTCGCGACGGCGCCGATGGATCGCAACGTAGAGAAGAGCCTCATCCGGAACTCAACAGGTGGGTCGATCGAGAACGGGATGACCGGCGAGGATACAAGGTAGTAAAAAAGAGAGAGAGAGAGAGAGAGAGAGAGAGAGAGAGAGAAAGAAAGAGGGAGAGAGAGAGAGAGAGAGAGAGAGAGGACGACGGCCGATGGTTGCGTCCATGTGTGCGTGAGAAGGGGGAGTGGAACGGAACCCAAGAGAGCATTCTTAAGCGACTTCTCTCCGAGCGTATAGCCGCGATCATATTTCATCTCGCGCGTATGCGGCATCATTTATTTCTCACGTTTCGAGGCTGGAGGGCTCCAGCTTCCTCACTTACGGTCCTTGAAATATCGCGACCGCGCGCCTCTCCTTCCGACTGCCCACCCTGCCAGGAGACGTGGACGATCGCGTCACGGTGACAGACAGTAATGTAAATGATACATTTCATATCAACCTCGAAAGTTCTCCGTAGAATCTCAACCCTCTATGAACTCGTGTAACTGCCAAGTCACGTACTAATATATCGATATTTTATTAAATAATTTAATTCTTTCCCCACAAGGTGGCGTACGCATCTTTGTTACGTAACGTCTTCTTAGGAACCAATGACATTCTTGGTTAACGATTATCAACTCTAACCTAAGTAAATGCTTTCGCAAATGTTGTCTGCAGATAGAAGCTGAAGGAACCACCTTGTGCAATTGTCATTATTTTTTCTTCTTTTCTTCTGTCTATAGATGTTTGTTAAACAAGAAAAAAAGTACATAATTGTTTTTGGTTTGTATCAATAATAATGTCTTATTTGTTTGCACTTGAACAATCATTCTTTTACTATTTTCATATGATGGATAGCTTTGTGACTTTTTCCAAATGTATTTGCAATAACGCTTGTGTTTTCTTTGGTTTTATATATCAGAGGCCTAAGACAGAAATACAGAATCATATAAAAAGAAAAGAGCATTAAGAATAAGAAGCATTAGCGGTAATCCGAAGATTCTTTGCTAGATTGTGACTCGGGCGAAGATCATCCAATAGTATTTACCCGACGACGATATAAATATTATTGACAGCGACGATGAATTTAGTGGTAAATCCAAAAATAAAATATTTTATATGCAACGTATGTCTATGTTTAACACCAAGCATAAGCCATTTTATGGAATTTCATATTCATGCTTTTGTACACACAAGTACTGACAACAGTGTAAGCCATTGTCACTTCAAAGTTACAAAACGTATTCGTTGTAATAAAATTGAAACTACTGTATTCATTGTTAATATGTATTTTTAGGTCGATATTTGTCGATTTTACGTTACATAACCATGAGAGTTAACAAGGTGGCTGAGCGAGACAATTGGGTTCGGTTCCAGATTCCCGACTACTTTTATCAGAGAGCATGCAAGTATTTGTACATGTTTGTTCTTAGGGTAGGGAACTGATCAGGGTGTTTAAAGTCTACGTGTCACAATCGAGTCGACGCAGCAAGTCAACTTTTTCAATTTCCCTCGATTTGCAGGCATATATTCTGGCGAACGTTCGAGGAACAAATCGAGTCGTTCGTTGGAGGTTCACGCGTGAAAAAACCGTGAGAACGAGGACTGAGACACGTACGTGAATCGAACGAGGAGACAGGAAGGCGAGTCTCGTTGCCTTCTCGTCGATCGGCCCGGTCCAAGCGTTACAGGTGCACGGAGTCTGGGAGCGAACCACTCGTTAAACGTTCCACGATGCACCTGCCGCGTGGCATCATTCATTGCCTTTATTTCTCTACTCTCCCCCTTCGCACATCCCTCGTCGCTTCACCCTGGCTCATCACCGTTTCCTTCTCTCTGTCCCCTACCACGTTGTACTTACTCGCACATCACGTTCGTCCTTTTGCATTCCACGCACGGTCCATCGGATCCACACCCGGCCAATCTCGATCGATTCTCTCCACCCTGTGCGCTTCGAATTTCCTTCGTTTTCGTCTCTGCTTCGATCTGCCCCTCTTCTCTTCTCGCTGGATCCTGCATCGACCATTCGCGTCGCGGACAACCGATAACGTAACCAAGATTCCCGATTTCGGATTCGTTCGAGCGCTGCCTCTTCTCGAATGATCTCGACTCGACTTACAGGTTCAGGTCTCGATGCTGAGTAACGGCCACTGAAGGTTTGGAAATCGATGCCCAACCTCGGAATACCGGACGGAAGAAAGGGAACAGGTGCAGAAGAAAATTCGGATAGGTTTAGGGTATCGGTTACAAAGCTCGGCAAGCGCCGACCCTTTACAAGCCTGAGCCGCATCAAGACGGCATTGTTGAGGAAAATTTACGAATGGCAAGCGCGCGGGTGGTGCGAGAGCGTGAACGAGCGTAACGAGTTTCTCGGCGAAGCATGAGTCTGATTTATGCGAGACTGTAAAAAAAGATCTCTCGTCTGCCGAGAGAGGAGCCATCGGCCGATCGAAATCTTGCGACGAGTCTGTTGTCCTTCCTTCTTACCTTCTTTTGTGTCCATTGTCACGTGACGAGGGTACAATTAACAAATTATACTATACAATTTTAGAGAACTCTTATTCAAATAAGACGAGACTTTTCACTCGGTGAAACTAATTGACTGTGGGCCCTTACAGAGTGAATAGAAAAAAAGAAACTATTGATTTTTTTCAACCCATGTTTATTAGGACTTTTTTTCATGAGTACTATCTATCCTACGAGTAACCCCTTTTTTTTCTATTCACTCTGCATATTCTTTCCGATATATTGTAACACTATTATCTTTTGTATTATAACACATATATCTGACTGATTCCTAACAGCTTCTGTCTTTTCCAGATCGATTACAAAAGTAATACGCTTGCAATGCGTCTCGACGTTCATTTTGTCGCCGATTGCAACTAGCAGCGTTGCGGAGGATCGTCGATCGACCGAGAAAAAAGCCGCCTCAGCTTCAGGGTTTCGGGGAGAGACGTGGCTCCAGTCGTCTCGGAGGTATCTACTCAGGTGTCGTCGGACCGCTTGAGGTAATAATGCTCGAAGGATATAACCGAACAACGGTTCGATGACCCAGGTGGTAAAGGAATTGAATACTGTGACATGGATAGCCTAAATACGGACGCCGACGGAGCCATTGTTCACCTTGTAACCGATACTCTCTGTTTCCTAGAATGAGCCGATCGTCCTCCATCGATATTTAACCGTTTTAGTGCGATCGCGCCGTTCAGATTTCCTGTCGAAGAGAGCCACAGCGATGTACAGTTTACAATGCGCTCGGTTTCGATTATAGCGTATCGACGCTTCTTCTTCCAATTACTTTTTTTTCAATTAACCCGTTCGAGACGAAGAATGGTTTCAAAGACGATCCCCAGGAGCGGGAAATTTTTGTTTCTCATGTCAAATGGTTTAAACAGAAGAAATGTTTGGAAGGTGAGAAACACTCTTTGCATAAATAACGTGATAGCACACCGTGCGTGTAATTGGCTCTTCAGAATATTCTTGTTACGAGGAGCCGTTCGCACACCATGTGTGTGATGCATAATAAAAAGAAAAGATATAATTAAAGTGGAAGAACGTTTATTTCTAATATAATAAAGAAACATGAGATCATTCGTTTAAGTTCAGTAATAAAAGATAATCCATAAATAAGTTTTAAAGAAACATTACATAGGCAATAAATCTGTTGGAAAATTTTCCTCCAACGACATTTATTTTTTTTTGTTTGTTTGTAGTAATCCTTGAAACATTCTCCCAAATCCGGAGGTTACCTACACAAGTAAATTTTAATCTTTTCTACTTTTTCTACTTTAGTTTATCTCAGAACGATCTTATCTTCACGGCTACTTCTTCACCAATAACTAATAACTCAAGTTCAAGATCATTACGCACGGTGTGTAATCCATCTCGAGTGGGTTAAATCTAAATCACGTAAAGCATAAATACGCTTTTATTTTTACTTTATCTACTTTTATTTACAGATACTTCTACACGGTTGCTTGAAGGAAGCGCTATCGCGCCACACGGCACTATCCAGCACAGTTTTTTAAATAACCTGTGACACTAAAATAGTTGAATACTCTAACTGTCCGGGCTTTTGTTGGACGTCAACGTCGACGTGGCCACTGGCAGCCAATCGATCCCCGTGCATTTCTCAAAGCCGTCTATCTGGCAGAGCCATACATGCATACATACATGTGGCTGTCGAAACTGGAAAATGAGCGTGTGCATGAAAAATTGCCCCTATCATCGGCTGCAACTATGAAACGCGATACAATCTCTCGAATGCGAAATCGAGACGGTCTTTTGCGTCCGTACGCACTTGCCAGAGCGTGCACGAGCAAGAGGACGAACATACACGCACAGAGAAAACAGAGAGAGATAGGAACGGGACCGTGTGTCATGTGTCCACTCATGGTCGAACAAAGAGCCGGTGCCGCGCTATAAAGATCACGAGGCGCGACATCTGGCACCGAATGCTCGTTTAAAAGCTGTCGCATTCACGTAATCGGCCGGCGCGACGGTCTCGAGCTGTTCGCGATATTCGCCAAGTACGCACGTACTGTAATACGCAGTGTATATATGTATATGTATATACATACATATATATATATATATATATATATATATATATATATATACATATGTATATGTGTATATGTACATATACAGGGTGGGTCACTACATATTGCAATCTAGATTTATGTCATTATCATTACGCGTAGCGAAAAATGTTTCAGATGACGTTGGATGGTTTTGGGTTAGGTTTGGGGCATTTTGATGATACTAGTTTTCTTGTAGGTGTAGGTGTAGAGGACATATGAAGGTCATTAACGTTTTTTTAAGTGGAATTATATATTTTTTATTGAATCAGTTGATGCACCATAATATTCTTTACAAAAAAAGTATTAACCTATTTATGTTAAAAAATCATTAGTTTAGGAGATATTTTTAGGAAGATAGTTTTAGGAAAAAGAAAGATTTAGTATTCTTATATTTATACTGTCTTTGTCTTTCACGCATAGATTTTACAAAATTAAAATTAAAATATCTCCTAAACTAATGATTTTTCAACACAAATAGGTTAATACTTTTTTGTAAAGAATATCAAGGTGCATGAACTGATGCAATAAAAAATACATGATTTCATTTAAGAAAACGTTAATGACATTCATGTGTCCTCTACAGCGTCCACCTACAAGAAAACTAGTATCATCAAAATGTGACTCTCTCGAAACCATTCAACTTCGTCTGAAACATTTTTCGCTACGCGTAATAATAAAATGACGTAAATCTAGATGGCAATATATGGCGACCCACCCTGTAATGGCAATCTTCTTTTTCTCCTTGCTCCGGAGAGGAGATAACAAGGGTACCCATAAGTAATATCGTTTTCTGAGACTGTGAAAAATTTTATTTTTCTTTAAATTATTGCAGTTATATGGCAATTAGACAGCAAGAAACGACATTAATTATGGATGCCACTGATGCATGCACATGCACGTGTACACGCGTGTAACGATTACGCGAGTCTTCAAGAGTTGTCGAAGGAATTCGCCGCGACTCACGAGAGTCGTTGCTTTCGCGGAAGCATTCCCGCTTCTAGTTCGGAACCAGCGGCACGGTTCACCACGCATTATCTCGGATACGTGGGAAAGTCGAGGCTTTCGCTTAATACGGTGGATCGCGTGCACCCGCTACGCTTGTTCGGGGTTCTGCGCGAGGTCAAACGTGTATACTCAAACACGAGCACGCGAGGACACGACGAAAATATGCGATCGCACGTAGAAAGGAATATTGTGGAAAGCAACTGACCATGGGACCGATGATTATCCGACTTAAACGGTCGGTCGATTGGCTATATACACGGTGTCCCCGAGTTTTTTTTCTCACAATCAGTTTATCATAACTTTGTCCCGGTAGATTCTATGAGTGAAAATAAGAAAGAAAGAAAGTCACGTACATTCAAACATTTCGAAATTTCGTTAGGGAACTGTATATGCAATATTTTATAAAAAATGTTTATAAAAGAAGTCTAGTTTAAATCTCTAAAAATGCACTGTCTCGTATCTACAAAATTTTGAACAGAAATTATAAATTGGTCATTTCGTTCCATTTTGGTGGTTTTAGTGTGAATGACAAATTTTTGATGCACATGTCTTTATATGATATTTTTTTCTTATTTTCATTCATAGAATCTATTGTCAAAGTTACGCTGGAAAAAATGCGGATATAGCATACGTACATATATATATATATTCACACACACATGCATAGGTATATTTCGTACAAAATGAGAGAAATCGGTAGATTTGATTCGCGAGATATCGGTACAGTACAGCATCTGTGAACGATGGGATCGGCAAGTTTTCACCAGGTCGGATTTTACTGGTTTCGTCTGCTTTTCCGGTATTTCCTTTACCCCCCGACTATTCTAATTTCGTGGTCGACACGTGCCCGGATAGAAACAGATGTACCACGGCAGCGTCGTATAAATACACATCGGTGCTCGGCTAACTGGGCGGCCGCGCGGCCGTATATCCCCTCGGCGAGAGAGTCGACAACCGTGCCTTTGAATCGATATAGAGTTACCGATACGACTGGCGCCAGCGTGACTGCGCGATTCCAGCTACATACTATGTACTTACTCGGATCGTGTCGCGACCAGACTCACACCCTGCCCTCTCTCAAACCGTCTGCCATTCTTTCTTTTCGCGTCGCATCGTTTCATTCCCATCCGATTCCATTCCCGTGCCCTTTTTCTTTCCTTTCCTTTCCATTCCTCTCGTTCTTTCCTCTCCGGTTAACGTTCTCGCAATACCGAATCACCGCTCTCGATATTTCCAATTCAACAATGTTTCGCTTCTCCCCTCCCCCCTTGCGCTCATTCTCGTTGGAAAAATTCCAATGTGGGTTGCGGTTACGGAGTCGAACCTCGATCCTCGATAAGTTTTTTTCGATTCGTTCGCGTCACGTGGACTCGATTACGCTCGTACGTAACTCTGTTCCGAAGCGACTCGACGCGACGCGTTTCGAGTCCGTAGAACTTTTGCAAGACTTTCTTACTTTTTGCTCGACGATCACGTATGTAGATACGCGGCTGATACGTATCGGTCCGCGTATCTCGTCCCATTCCACGTACTTGCGAGTATCTGTATCTATCTATGAACATCAGACAGGTCAAAGAAAGTTGTTCTTGTTTAATAAAAAAAAAATCAAACGCTTCTTTTTTATCGCTTTATATTCATTTTGAAATATCCCCTAATTTTTGTGAGCAGTGTGTGTATATATATATAGAAAGATACAGTGTGATTTAACCTCTTGCACTGGAATGACGTGCCACGCATGTCGAGAATTTTTTGTCGCAAAATTGCAATATTTTCTCAGTTTTAAGTATATTTAAGTAAAACAAATAATAAATTTATTACTTCTCAATAATTTCTATTCAGTGATATACCGACGAGTTCGAAAAGAAAGCGACGAATTATTGTATACGGTTTGGTCACTCGTTATGGTCCGCAATCAGTTGCCAGCGCAAGTGGTTAACCT